ACTTCCACCTCCAAACTTGTTCCTCCTGCAGTTTTGCCATCTCAGGAAACAGCAAATCCATTCAACCGGTTTTTCAGGCCTGAATCCTTGAAGGTATCCTTGGCTCCTCTTTCTCTCACACACTGATTCTATCCAATCCAACAGCAAAGCTCGAACCTCAGCCTTCGAAATACATGTTTTTACTACCTTCTTCACTACATCCCAGTCAAACCCACTAGCATTCTTCATCTAGACTATTTTAATAGCTTCCTATCAGATATCCAATTCTGGTCTTCCCGTGGTGTTGTAGGGCCCCGTGCAGCCCAGAATGGTTTACCTATTGCCCAGTAGGGCCCTATACAGGACTCTACCCAAAACCTCACTTCATACTCAGAGTAAAAGCTATCATTCTTTCCAGTTACTCTATAAATATTTGTTGAGTGAATGAATAAATTTCTAATCAGCATTTTAGTAACTACCATTTTAAAAACAGATGATATCCAGGAGGCCAATAAACACACAAAAAGGCACTTAAGTTCATTAGTCATATGGGATGTGCAAATTAAAATCACAATACCACCTCAAACCCATGAGAATTGCTAAAATGGAAAAGACAGACAATACCCAGAGTTGCCCAAGATGTGGAACAACAGGAACCCTCACTTACTGCTAGTAGAAGTCTAACCTGGTACATCCACTTTAAAAAAACTAGTTGGCAGAATTTCATATCTGATGACACAGCGATTTCACATATTAGTATATTCCCAGCAGAAATGCATACATACATAATCAAAGGACATGCAAAATGTCCATAGCAACATTATTCATAACTCCAAACTGGACATTATCCAAAGTTTCCTGAACAGTTAAATGAAAAAATTGTCATATATTCACATAACAAAATACTATACAGCAGTGATTCTCAAAGTGTTTTGAAAACATAAAGTAGTTTTATCTAGCTGGACAACAAAGTAGTTTGAAGAGCTGCAGCATCAATATCAGCTAGGAATTTGGAGAAATACTAATTCACTTCAGACTTAGAGAATAAGAAAGTGGGGGTGGGACTCAGCTTGCCCTGAAAAGCCTTCCAGGGACTTCTGATGCAGGGGAAAGTGTGAGGACACTTCACTACAGGAGCGAACCCGATGAATTTGAGCACACTGAGATCATTAACAATTCTGTTGGGAAGTTGGAAGATGATTGTTGCTAGCTACATAGAAAACTAGCAAATGTGTGTTTTGAAAATGCAGAGTAGTTTGATCTGGCTGGACAAAGGTCTTTTTCTTTTTTTTTTGCTTTAAGAAAAATACAGGTTGTATAAGAAAGAAAAAAATATGTAATACAACTATACTGCCCAGCTCAACTGTTCATTAATTACAATTGTATGGTCATCAGAATGTGATATGGATACCAATGAAACCAAACAGGTAACGCAGCCACACAACATAAGTGTCTGAAGTGGATGACTCAAAAAGGAGCAGTAGAACCCTATTATTTAGAAAATGGGTGTAACTCAGAAAATGGAAAACAGTGACCTCTGGGAAAAAGGATGAGGATGACATGTGCCAGGACGCTGCTGTTTTTCATGACAGTCCTTTCAGTAGTATTTCACTTATTAACAGCTTCTAAAAATGCTTCTACTGTCCACCACACCAACTGACCTAGCATGGTGACATAAATGGCAGGACCAAAGGAGTGTGTAAGCATGGGTAGTCGCAGCGGCACAAAAGATCATGGAAAGAAATAAGGTTCCAACGGTATGGAGCTAGATGCTAGTCTGGAAAATACTCCCACATCTTACAATACATAAAGGAAAATTGACAGCATTTTCAAATTTGATGACAATTCTAAAAATTTTAAAGCCCTTACCAGTTTGAAGCCTAAATAAACTTCTAAACTATCAGCAATAGATTTCAACCAGCCATACTATAGGAAAGCCTAAATTTATCTTCCTATTCTCTCCAGAAAAAATATTACAAAATCATTGTTATTCGAAGATGCAAAGAATATGAAGCCAAAAAATGTGAAAAAAAATGTATTACAGATTGAGAAGCATTATTTTATGTGTTTTGTTATATTGTTAGCATCTTAAATTTTATACTGTTGAATTTTCTTCTAAATAATTTTTATATCTAATTTTAAATTTTGTATTTTTTTTTTAAAGAGGACCCCTAACTTGTCTAAGTTTCAGGCCCAACAAAACCTGGATCTACTCCTGCACAATTAAAAAAGCACAGTTTTCTAAGATACTTTTGTTCACCGGTCACATAAAAGATTGACAGACATTCATTTCAGTGAATCCTGCTGTTTGTATTAGTGGTGGTGATGGGGTGGGGCTGAAGTCATCCCGCCTGCCCCCCCAAAGCCCAACAGCTAGGGAGCAGCTCCTGCAGTGGTGTGGGTGGTTTGATCTGGAAGGGAAGGGATGACTCCAAGAGGCACTCCAGGAATGCACAGCAGAGACACAAGGAGGAAGGGAAATGGGGAGGCCATCCTTTGTGCAGGAGTGGCATTTGGGGGGCAGGGAGGCCATGCAGGTTGCTTTTATGGAGACTTCTCAGGACTGGGCAAGGGGAGCAAACTGTCCATGGCTACCCTGACCAGAGCCAATGTCTGAAAGATCAAGGGCAGTGACGTTTATCTCTTAGGAAGTCCCTTTCTCTGCTCACTCCACCTTTCAGCAAATACAGTCCAGATTCGAGAATTCAGCACACAGAACTGTCTCAGGAGCAGCTGAGAGTAGCAAACTCAATAAAATAGCAGAACACTGGGTACCAGTGAGGGGGTGGGCATGCTGGGACACAAGGCCATGGTAACTGTGCCAAACACTGTATTAGCTAAGGAGGACTCAGAAAAGGATCACTACTAACTACTACCTTTTCATCCTTCTCTGTGCTGTCTGGCTAAAGGCCACGTTTTCTCCAATCAGCACCCCATTACTGTGAGAACATTATTAAGACAATTTGTCCCTTTACACAGGTTACAATGACCTTGTGTGGCTTCTATTTGTCCCAGCCACAGACCATTCAGGCCAAGCTCCCCTTCATTGCCCAACAAGCAGGAAGCATCAGCATAATGCCCAAGAGGGAGCCCGGAGTCCTGGGCTCCCTGATCAGACTCTTAATGGCAAAATCTTTATTTCACCCCTCCCCCACTCCTAAAAAAAAGCTTTTTTTGTTGTTGGCAAGTTGCAAGCACATATCTCCTAAATAAGTTAAAATGGGTAAGATTCAATTGTGCCTGCCATATTGCAAGCTCTCTATAAACATTTATTAAAAAGTTTTTTAAACCCTCTGTATTTTCAAGGATCTAAATTTGGAAAACCACAGAAGCCCATAACAACTCACCAAGATTTACATAGTAGTGTCTGAATACTAAACAAGCTTCTCCTCAAAGCCTCAAGGAAGAAAAGTTTTATGGTAGAATCTAAATTACTAAATATCCTGGTGATAGTCACTCTGGAAAGGAAGTGAGGGGGCTAGGAGGGAAGGAGGAAGGGGCAGGAGAGCAAATGTTTCCCCCTCCCCTCCTGCACACATTGGATCTGCTTTCCAAGAAGAATGTTCTCTCTGCAAGCTACCAGCTTCACAAGGTTTGGGGTCTCCTTTCCCTACAGGAGGGAAAGATGATGGAGCCAAAGTATACGTTCAAAACACTCCTGTAAGTCATGTATTCCTTACAGGCTGAGTCTTGGGTCCTAAAACCACAGAGGGAGAGCCCTCCAGCACTAAATATGTCAATTCAGTGTTGAAGGTTAACTTTAAAGGGGACTAGAGGTTTCATTCTCAAGGTAAAGCACTATTCATGGTGCATGTGACCACTCACTTCAAAATTAGGATTGAAAACAGCCTGATTTTAACACTGCAGGAAAACTTGTAGAGCATTTTCAGACTGCTATACCTGAGAGAGAAAATGCTGTTTGGATATAAAATCAATCTCTCACAACTCCTTCTCCTGTCCATCTTCATTCTCCAGATCACCAGAACACAATCATGGACCTTAACAAGCAAAGCAGGAGTAAGCCATCTTCCCACTCAATCTAACCCGACCTGACAATCCTGGGCCAACCAACACCTACTCATTCATCCCACAACATGGACTACATCCTATGTGTCAGGCACTGCTGAAGGTACTGAGGAAAATGTGGGGGAACAAAACACACAAAAATGAATGTGAGAAGAGAGAGGAGCTGCGTTTTCAAACTCTAGTCACAGGTTTTAAACTCAGCTGCTTGATTTTCATCAGTGTTAACAGGTCAGTGTTAACAGGTTCCTCCAATCACTCAGTGGAACCACTTTAAGGTTGTGGCCAGAGTAAGTTTGCATTCAGGATGCTTGAGGAAAGATAAACAGCAATCCTTCTAGGTCTCCAGGCAGCTGGGATTTAAACCTGGGGACAACTACTCCCATGTCCCGGACACTGGGTCAATTCAAAGGTCTTCAAAAACAAACAGCTGTGGCATTCAAGCCTGGGAGAAAAATTTAAAGCCCTGTACTAATTTGCATAGTCAATATATTCTAACCTGCTCTCCCTCCTAGGCAAAGGTCAAATCACCTACAGTTAGCCATTCAAACGCCAAAGGAGAGGGGCCAAGTTCGCCATGCTTCCTGAGTGGCTGCCACCGCCACGGGAGAAAGAGGTGCTCACCTCTCCGGCTCCTGGGGTGGAGGAGGTAAAGGGAAGGTTTGTGCAGGAAACGAACACAAAGACTTCTTTCACTGTATCACGCCTGGGTCCGCGGTCACCAGACGCCCACCGCAGGATGCCGGGGCGCGCGGGTCCAGCTCCGCACTCGAGGACCCCCACCCCCGGCCGGGCCCCAGCCCGCCAGGCCCGCGGCTGCACGCGGTTCTGGGCCCTGCTATCCCGGGCCCAGAGGAGCCCCTTTGGTCCGACTTTACTTCTGCTAGGACTTTCGTAAGTCCCAAGTGGGTGTGATGCGGCAGAGTTGCCGCCCCGCCCGGCGGGGCTGCGCTAACACGGACCCTGCCGGGACCGGAGAGGAGGGCCGCAGCGCTCACCTGTCCCGCCCGCAGCGCGAGCTGCACCGCCACTTCAAAGCACTCCTCCCAGGGGCCCCCGGCGGGCTCCGCCTCGTCCTCGCGACTTGGCTTCATCGCGGCCTCGCGGGGTCCCGCCACCTCCAGTCCTCCACGAAGGTCCTCCACCAGCTCCCACTGCCCTGAAATCAGGCTCCGCACTCCCTCCTCTTACTCCCGCCACTCGAGCCTCAGCTTCAGTCCGCCCCACAGCTGTGCCCGCGGGAAGGGCAGGGAGCTGGCCGCTGCCGGGGAAGCCGCGCCGCGCCGCGCGCCCCAAGCCCCGCCCAGGACCCCGCCCCTCCCCACTGAGCCCTACCCTCTCCGCTGCTAGTCCTACGCCTCGCCTCACTCAGCGCCTCTCCCCGCACTTCCAGCGCCAACCCCAGTCTTTCCCCACGTACAGTTCGACCCCGCTGGGCTTCCGGCTCCCTGCGCCAGCCCCGCCCCTCCCGGCTCTCATCCAAGCTCGGCCCTTCACCCCTCGAGCTCCGCCCCTATCCCCACTCCTCCGGGTCGAGCCCCGCTTCACTCTGCACCCGAGCCCCGCCCCTTCCCGCCGCCAGTCCAGGTCACCGCTCCTCCAGGCCCCGCCCCTCCCTAGCAAGACCCGCCCTCCATCGCGCGCTTGGTCGAGCCCCGCCCCGCGGCCCCGCCCGTAGCCCTGCCCCGCGCTCTGTCCAGCCGGCGGATCGCGGCCCGGGGCCGGCGTGGCGAGAGAAGGGAAGGTGGTGTGTACTCTGGGCCTGGGACGGAAGCCCTCGAGCTTGGCGGGAGCCGGGTCTCAGGGCAGGCTGCCACTGTTGTGGGCGTGCACGGCCAAGGCCACGACTCTGTCCACCACTGATGTGATGTGGGCGCTGGCGCGTCGGCTCCGGTTGGGGGAGCCTCCGACCCTCTAGCCCAGCCCTGCGCACACGTGGCCCAAGGGGTGGCCAGGTCCTAAAGGAATTTACTTTTAACTCGTAACGGGTTGCCCTTTGAGTAGAAGGCCTCTGGACGCCTGGTGTTGTTCTCAGCCTGCTCGGTTGGCCGCAGGCGCTCATCCTGGCGGCAGAGCACAAAGCGCCTATGTTCCCTAATGTTTGGATGCAGCAAGAAGCTTTGACCCCTGCTAAAAATCAAACACTATGATGACAGTCACTGGATTTTATAGCTGTCTGAACTCAAAATTCCATTGTGGAACCTGAACTGTGACAAGCCCCTCTCTGTAATGAGGAATGACCTTAGATCCTTCAACACTGCTGAACACTGGCACCACCTAAACATAAATAAATACAAGGCATTTCCCAAGAGAGAGACTCCTGTGGTTTCCAGGAGTTAATTTCATAAGCTGCTCTGCCTACTTACTACCACTTTGTAAAAGATGCTGACCCACATAAAATTATTGTGGAGTGCTATCTCTCAGAGCCTGGGAGAACAATGGGAGTTTGTACAAGAACTTTGATGGGACCTTTTTTTTACACAATTAACCTAATGATGGGGTTAAATGTTTTTAGCTTTTGTCTTTAAACACTTTATGTTGAATAAAGTTTCACAATGTAAAGAAACTCTAGCTGCATGGTATAAGAGACAAATAAAAATTAAAAAGAACAAGGAGTAATTAGGACGTCAGATCTGAGTAGATGTTTAGTCTCTGTCAAGCCTTGCCCAGTCTCCTGTTTCCACAGCTCAGGAAACTAGACCTAGAATTGCCCCAGTTCTCACTACTGGCCAGTTTGGGGCAGCTAAGGGCACACTCTACCCCATCTTTTTTGTTAATGTTTTTCAAAATAGGGAACTGGACTTCTAAAAATACTTAAGACTGTGCTCTGAAAGCTGCATTTTAAAATTAAATGCATTTAGTTGTTGATTTTCATGTTGATTTCCATTAGAGGTCACCAAGAAAAATTAGGAAGTGATGAAATTTCTCTTTGGCCTCTTCTCGGCTCCCCTTTCTGAACACCTCTCCCCTCTACTTTCTATCTGGACCAATCTGGGAGTTCAGTGATAGCTTTTGATAAACTCTTATTATGGATCTCAGCCTATCCAAACATCTAGAGCAGCGGTTCTCAACCTTCCTAAGGCCACAACCCCTTAATACAGTTCCTCATGTTGTGGTGACCTCCAACCATAAAATTACTTTCATTGCTACTCTATAACTGTAATTTTGCTACTTTTATGAATCGTGATGTAAATATCTTTTTGTTTTCCGATGGCCTTAGGCGACCCCTGTGAAAGGGTCGTTCGACCCTCAAAGGGGTCACGACCCACAGGTTGAGAACCGCTGATGTAGAGAGAAAGACTTCATAACTTCCTTACCTAACTTCCAAATATCTTAAGTAAGAATCATGTGGTTTTTACCAGTATGAAGTTTGGAGCCAGCCAGATTTTCCTAAATTAAAATATTGGCTTTCATTCTTTGCTGTTCGGATTTGAGCAAGTTACAAATAATCCCTTTGTCTCAGTTTCCTCAACTAAAAAAAAAATCTCTGGTGTTATATGGGTTAATATACATGTGTATGGCACTTGTGTGTTTGCTAATATTACTAAAAACTTGCTTACCAGGGTAGCCTCCAGTGATCAGTATAGTGCTTGGCTTATAATAGGTGTTTAATATCTGAATTTGATATTCAATCACTGAATACTGAAATCAGCTTTTTCTCATGGATTATACAAGTTTTTAATGCTTCAATGTCAATTCTCCATGGCAACATAAAATAGTTCTTCACTACTAGGCCCTATATGCCAGTCAGCACATTGCCTCTTTAATGTGCGAAACCACATTAACTTTGGAAAGCCTTTACAGTACTATTCTGTGCCTTGAAAGACTTTCCTAACTGCCCCTTGACACCCCCACTCCAAGGGTGCAGCCTTAGTGAGCACTGTGGTCATCAGGAAGAGGTATGCAAGGAGACTGCACAGGGGCTAGAGGCCAGGGGTTGGCAGTGAGAGGGCACTAAGGACAGACTAAGGTAAGACTCCTGCATCTTGCCCTTTATGTCCTTATTAATCTGGGAGTCCCTTCCCCTCGTGTCCTTCATGGAAAGAGCAAAGTCTAAATAAACAAAATGTCAAATGAAGTTTTTCTTTTCTTCTATCTACTTCTCTAGCTACCCAGTTGCTTTGAAATCTGATTTTATTCTCCAGGGCCAAGATGTGCTGATTTGGATATTTGCTGAGCGCACGCGCATGTGTGTGTGTGTGTGTGTGTATGTTTGTTTTCCATTTCATCTACACTCCTAAAATGTGCCCAGGGTGACAATATCTGACCATTCTTAACTTCATTGGTGTTATAGTCTCCCCCAACATTAATATGTTGAATCATAATTCCTAGTACCTTAGAATGTGACCCTTTTTGGAGATAAGGCCTTAAAGATGTAATTAAGTTAAAATGAGGTCATATGGGATGGCCCTAATCCTATGTGACTGGTGTCCTCATAACAAGACAGAATTGGACACAGACACAGAAAGAGGGAGAAGGTCATCTGCAAGACAAGGAGAGAGGCCTCAGGAGAAACCAAACCTGAGGAGACCTTGATTTTTTACTTCTAGCCTTCAGAATTGTGATAAAATACCCCGTTGGTAGTACTTTGTCATGGCAGTGCTAACAAACTGATATAGCTGGGAGCCAAAGAGGTTTGCTTCATGCATCACCACACTTAGGGTTATCAGGAGCTCTTCTCAGCCAAGAGGCCTAGTAGAGGGCTGTAGGGAGGATAGCTCTCCAAGGGGAAACAGCACAAGAAATCCTCCCACCCACAACTTTAGGGTCACTTATACAGTAGAGTTAGCCAGAACCACAACTTATCACTAAATTAAGTCAGGTGATTATCAACAAGTGCTCTGTATTTAAATATCACCCCAACACTCTGCACAGCCCCATAACAAAGAACAATTCTAGGAGTCCATGTAAAAAACTCTGCTCCAGCAGAATTGTCTGTAAAAAAAAAAAATTCTCTGCAGGTTATTTCTCTTTCTCATTTATTTGCACTGTAAAACTGGAGATGCTTTTTCCTACTCTGGAAAAACCTCCCAAGTCATTATTTCCCATTGAGGAAAGGGTTAATGTGGTGGTCATGCCCCTTGCTAAGTGTGACTTATACAGGGCACTACCTGAGAATTAACATGGTGTGCTGGCTTTCAGAACATTGCAAAGCTTTTCTGGGACTCTTATTCTTCTTTGCTATGCCCTCTACTCACTCCTACCATGATTCTATGCCTGCAGATCCCACAGTCATAGATCCTGGAGACAATGAAATTGTACTTCAATAATTGGTACCACCTTCATTCTGCTAAACTCTTAACCTAAGGCCTGTAAACTTTTTATTTATTTATAATAAATAGGTTCAACCGGGAAGGGGCCCAGGTTTCCTAAAATATTTATTTTAAATAAATATTTTCAGTATTTATTTAAAATAAATATTTTCCAGGACTTCCGGTAAGATGGCGGAATAGACAGACACTGTGCCAACTGCCTCTCAGGATCACACCAAAATTACAACCTTGGATGTCCCCTGAACGCTAGATGAATAGAGCCTCTAAACCAGTGGTTCTCAACCTGTGGGTCGTGACCCCTTTGGGGGTCGAACGACCCTTTCACAGGGGTCGCCTAAGACCATCAGAAAACAAAAAGATACTTACGTTATGATTCATAACAGTAGCAAAATTACAGTTATAGAGTAGCAAC